GGAGAGCATTATGCTAAGCGAAATAAGCCAGTCAGAGAAAGATAAGTATCACATGCTCTCACTCATTTGTGGAATCTAATGAACAATATAAACTGATGAACAAAAATAAAACCAGACTCATAAAAGTATTGAACAGACTGTCCAACCTATGAGGGAAGGCGGAGGGTGAGGGGGAAGAGATCAACCAAAGGTCTTATATGCATGCATATGAGCTTAACCGATGGATACAGACGGCGGGGGGGGGGGGGGGGAGGCTTGGGGGGAGGGGTTGGTAGTGGCGGTGGTGGTGGTGGTGGTGAGGGCATGTGCTGGTGGGTGGGGGCGTCCGGGGAGAGGTCAATGGGGGGGGGGGGTGCAGACTTATGTAATCTTTAAACAATAAAGAATTTAAATAAATAAAAGAAAGAATTGACCCCTCTGTATTCCTAGAAGCTCCTTAGAGACTTTCTTTGCGTTTGATGCTTGGTCTAAATTAACTTGTTCTTTTAGCAATTTTTAAAGAAGGGTACATCTGATAAGACATTAATATCCAAAATTTATAAAGAACTTATAAAACTCAACACCAAAAAACCCCCACCCCAATCCAATAAAAAAATGGGCAAAGGACCTGAGTAGACACTTCTTCAAAGAGGACGTACAGATAGGCAGTAGACATATGAAAAAATTATCAAGGTCACTAATCATCAGAGAGACACAAATTAAAACTATAATGAAATATCATCTCACACTTGTCAGAATGGCTACCAGCAACAAATCAACAAACAAGTGCTGGTGACAATGTGGAGAAAAAGGAACCCTAATACACTGTTGGTGGGAATATGACTGGTGCAGCCACTGTGGAAAGCAGTATGGAGTTACTGCAAAACATTAAAAATGGAACTGCCTTATGAACCAGTAATTCTACTTATGGGAATTTATCCTAAGAAACCCTAAACACTAATTTGAAAGAATATATGCACCCCCTATGTTCATAGCAATGTTATTTACAACTAGAGGCCCAGTGCACAAAAATTTGTGCACTTGGGGGGTCCCTCAGCCCGGCCTGTGCCCTCTTGCAGTCTGGGACCCCTTGGGGGATGTCCACCTGTTGGCTTAGGCCTGCTCCCTGGGGGATCAGGCCTTTGCTGGCAGTCAGACATCCCTCTCGCAGCCTGGGAGCCCTTGGGGGATGCCTACTTGCCAGCAGGGAGCAGGCCTAAGCTGCAGTTGGACTCCTTAGCGCTGCTGAGGAGGCGGGAGAGGCTCCTGCCATCACCGCTGTGCTGGCAGCTGTCAGCCTGGCTTGTGGCTGAGTAGAGCTCCCCCTGTGGGAGCACACTGACCACCAGGGGGCAGCTCCTGCATTGAGCATCTGCCCCCTGGTGGTCAGTGTGTGTCATAGTGACCAGTCACTCCCAGTTGTTCTGCTGTTAGGGTCAATTTGCATATTACCCTTTTATTATATAGGATAGCCAAGATTTGGAAGCAGCCCAAGTGCCCATCAGTAGATGAGTGGATTAAAAAACTGTGATACATTTACACAATGGAATACGATTCAGCCATAAAAAAGCAGGAAATCTCATCCTTTGAGACAGCATGGATGGACCTCAAGTTTATTATGCTAAATGAAATAAGCCAGTCACAGAAAACAAGTACCATATGATTCACTTATATGTGGAATTGAATGAACAAAATGAACTACCAAGCAAAATAGAGACTCATAGAGAGAGAGCAGGCTGACAGCTGTTTGGGGGAGGAGGGGGAGGGTGTTGTGTAGAGGAATGGAAGGATTGAGCAAATAAGAAAAAAATAGAAAAAAAAACTCATGGACATAAACAACAGTGCAGTGATTGCTGGAGTGTGTGTGTGTGTGTGTGTGTGTGTGTGTGTGTGTGTGTAGTTATAGGAAGGTGTAGGGGAGATTAATGGTGATGGAAGGATACTTGACCTGGGGTAGTGAACACACAATACAGTGGACAGATGATGTGCTGTAGAATTATGCAGTTAAAACCTATATAATGTTGTTAACCAGTGTCACTCCAATTAATTCAACAAAAAGGAAAAAAAAAGAGGGTACAAACCTGAGATGTTTCTTGAGCTCGCGTAGTATCTGAGAATGCCATCTCAGTCTTTATCTCTCAAACCCTTTTTTCATTGTCCTTTGACATTTAATGGCGATACACAATTCCATTTATTTGTACCCTTATGATGATTCTGGCGTCACCACAATTTGTGATCCTTTATATGGAAGCCTGTTATTTCTAGCTGAATGCTTGCAGCAGTTGCTTCCCAGTGTTCTGAAAAATGTTATTAATAGGTACTCCAAAAAGGGGGTGGGTTCTATAATCAAATAGGTTTGGGAAACATTAAGTCATACTAGTATATACAATGCTATGTATGTTTTGTGATTGTAGGATTGCTAATGTGCACAGTGAACCTCCAACACTTATTTGGCATTTCCCAAATGTATTTAACAACAGGACTCTTTTGAGTTCATGGAAAACAGTAACATCCTAGAAAGTGTTCTGCAAAGCGCAATTTGGAGTATGCTGGCTTATAATTTTAATTACATTTATTTATTTATTTTTAAAAAATATTTTTATTGATTTCAGAGAGGAAGGGAGAGGGAGAGATGGAAACATCAACGATGAGAATCACTGATTGACTGCCTCTCGCACGCCCCCCAACTGGGGATCGAGCTTACAACCTGGGCATGTGCCCTTGACCAGAATCGAACCCAGGACCCTTGAGTCCACGGGCCAACGCTCTATCCACTGAGCCAAACTGGCTAGGGCTAATTACATTTATATTTAAACTCTGGAAAGGGCAGATAGTGTCAGGCGTGGGTCTCTTTTCATCATTTAGTTTGGTGTGCAATACAGGAGTCTTTTTTTCTTTTTCATAGTGGTAAAATAGACATTAAAAAGAAACTAATGCTTTAACCATTTTTTTAAGTGTACAGTTCAATGGCATCAAGTACAGTCACATTACTGGGCAACCATCAAGGATTTCCTTTGAAATTACTCAATTTTTCTTCTCATCTCAAAAACATTTTCTTAAATTCACTGAATAGTATGTATTTGCCAGAGCACATACAAATAACATCTATTCACCATTTGAGCCCTGGGAATACAGAACATATGAACTTGTTTTCTGTTATTGCCTTTGTTCTGGGCGTCTTGCTTTCCTCCTCAGGAACTGTCTGGCAGAGGCAGCACTCTCCTCCACTTCCCTGCTACCAGCTCTCATATCCCTTCAACCTGCAGTAGGAGATGTTTCTCAAGTTCGCCCTCGACAACTTGTTATTTTCTGCTTTGATAGTATTTTAAATCACTGCATTTCAGTTTTTTACATTTCTTTCTTTTTCCTTTCTTCCTTCTTTCCTACCAATCTTTTTAGCTTATCCTTATCTTTTTATTTTTGCTTACTCTTGATGGCTTTCAGCTTCATAAATACTATGTTTTCTCAAATTTCACTAAGAATAATAGAGAGGTTTCCTACAATGTGTTTTACTTCCTTTACAAAATAACTTTCCAAGTTCTGCTCCTCCAGGTGATCTTTCCTTTTTCTGAACAATGTTTACACATGGGCTCCCTACAGATTTTTCTCCTTATTCTCCCTCAACTGAAAAGGGACTGTCACTGTTGGTAAATCTGAAAAGCAGCTTTTCAGATTTACCTATCACTGACTGGCAGGTTTATATCAATTTCTCCAAGACCACTCCTCAGAAGAGAGTTAGCATTTGTGTAGTGCAAGTTTGTTAGGTAAGATTTTCCTTACCTTAGCTCAGACACTGTGAACAAACAGGGTGGAGTACAGAAACAGCTAGACTCCTCCCGGGCACTGGTCCCCAGGCGCCTATTGCCAGCATTACCCAAGCCTTGCCCTCCCTTCCCGACTTTGCTTTGGGTACAGAAGAGGCACCATTGCCAGGGCTGCCCTACTTCCTGCCCGAGGATTCTGTGTGGTGCAGTTTCCAAGTGTTCAGAGACTGAGAAATTCCAGAGGGGAGGAGCTGGAAGAGGAACAAAGGGCAGCAAGGGGCTATCGTGCAAGCACTGCGTGGGTGGCATGCCAGCTGCTCTGCTTCTGGTTGGGGCACACTTTGGATTTCTTGGTGTGAGCGGGGGTGGAGGGAAATGAAGGGTCAGTACCCCATGTATCCATGTGTACCCAGGATGGGTGGGTCACTGGCATTTCTTCGTCTGGTCTCACCTATTTCTGAGCTTGTAGAAATTCTTCCATATTCTGTGAATCAGTTGAACATGTGTCCTAGTTTTGGGGATTTTTAATCTTGCCTTTTTGCAGCATCATTGGTCATTCAATGCAAAGCAGAAAGAGGTTTCTAGCAGATGCCATTTTAAAGTCTATAATTAAATTCTTGACTTTGATGGTGGGAAAACCCCATTAAATAGTTTCTTTCCTATTATTAACACACAGTGATATGGTGTGCAATAATGTAAGGCAGATGGGTTCAAGATAAAGAGAGACATGATTTAAAACCCAGTTTCCTTATTTATCAGTTGCTGGATCTCTATTTATCATCACTCATAAATTGGACCTGCACTTATTTTTGTAAGTTCATAATCCAGCCAGAGAAATATGAGTTCAAGTCTTACCTGTTCTGAGTCCATCTATATATGCCTAAACACTCAGAAGAAAAACCAATGCAGTCAATAACAAGTACTTTGGAAACCATACCTGGTTTCTTGGTTGTTGCAAGGGACTTCCCCAAGTGCATTTTCAAAGTCTAGTCTAGTGGTCTTAAGAAATGGCAATCACTTAAAAGAACTATATGTGTAATCTTTCTGAAGACTGCCACAAACTAAAATACTTTTGCTTTTAATGAAGTCTCTAATCAATTACAGATAAACAAAACTGATTTAAAAAGTTCAACAGGAAAGTGGCTGGACTAAGGAAATACCCAGACATTAAATTTAAGAACTCTCTATGCTCTAGTGTTTACTAGCTCACTGAGTGGATTTCCATATGTTAAAAAATCTGCCAAACAGACTAAAAGCTAGCTTAATTAAAACACTTATTTATTCCAAGTTCCATCCATTTACGGTTTTTCAGAAATTATTACAGAAATGAATACTGAAATCAGAAACGAGTGTTAACAGCTATAGCATTTACAACAAAGTTAATAACTACATGACCTTTACTTAAAAGATTCAAGGTGTTTCTGTTATTCAGAATCCATGAGGAAAGTTTCCAAGTCAAGATCCAAGTCGGAGACGAGGGCACTTACAAAGTCATCAATAGAAGGGCACTTCTGAAGCATACCTGCGAACAAAGAAAACATCAGCTAACACATCACCCCCAGATAATAAGGAGGGACAAAGACTGTACAAATCAAATGTCTGGACAAAAGTGGATTGTGGATGTTAAGAGTACACAAAGTACAGTTGGTGGGAGAATATAGGGAGGAAGATGAATTCTGATGTAGAGATTCAGAGGCTGGGGTGGGATCTGAGTAGAATCTTGAAAGATAGGGAAGATTTAGGTTCAAATTAGGGCCTTCCAGGTAGAGAAAACAACAGAGGAAAGGCAGAAGGGTGGGAAAATGCAGAATGTATGTTGACTACTAAGTAGTCTTGTGTGGCTGGACTAAAGGTGGAAGAGGCCCAGGGACAGACAGAGTTCAGGGAGGGAAGGGTAACTGAGTACAAGAACAAGAGGAAAACCAGTAACTCGTTATGTTTAGGTGCTGGACAGTGTGTGTGTGGGTGTCCAAGTGCGGGCCTCCCGACTTTAGTCAGCAGTGAGAACAGAGTTCAGGTGGGCCTAGCACTGTACACACCCAATCCACGAACTTCCATTGCACCTTTGACACCCACAAACAGGAGGTGTTTTCTTCCCTGAATACACAGCAAAAAATGAATTCAGAAGGACCCACAAACAGCTGAGACAATCCCACCCTGCTTCTTTTTAGACCTCTCATCATACCTACCACCAACCTGGCCAGGACTGTGAACATATGGGAAATAGCCCAAAGACTACTTTGTATGGTGGACATAAAAACAGCAGCTCCAAACACGTACTTGTAAGCCACCAACTAGACCTCAAGTAGCTAAGAACAATAATATTAAAATATTTCAACTATAGATCAAAATATTTTTATTCTCAATCAAGTTCAAATTCTAGTATCGGCATCTCAGGAAATATCTGAGAAATAAGGAGCAGCTACTGGAAGAAAATTCCATTGTTATGTCTTATCTGCAAAACTAAAGTTCAAAATACAATTTTCTTTTTACAGTAAAATAATCTCTATGGATGAAAGAAGGCCTTTCCTTTGGCCCAGCTGTGTTAATGATTGAAATGCTGAGTCTTTCCTGATTGCCAAAGCTGCACATTTCATGTCGTATCTAGATGGGAGGTTATTACTTACGTAGATTCAATCTGATGAATAAATCAGGTTTCAGGCCTTTCCTATGTGCCAGGTTTCTTAATACAGAGGACAGCTGTAGGCAAAAACTGGCTTTCAATCAAATGAGTTAAACTATTACACCATTTTAGGCCTTTTAGTATGTGAAACATTCTATAACTAAATGACTGGTTGTTTATGATTAAATGACTAGAACTTTCAGGAGTTAAAACCCTTTTATTCAGAGCAGACATATTCAGTTACACATGGCTCTCCTGTCCCTTTGAAGTGGTTCATTTGAACTCAACAAACAGCCAATATAAATATGACCTTGCTCTGTCCTTCTTAGCAGACAGACCTAGCTAGCACACATCCTTCTTCTGTTTCCCATCTTCAATCATTCCTGCATCTCAGAGAATAGCAACTGTGGCAACAACAAAAGAAAAACATATACACTCATGGCTTTTTTAAATAAAATCTGGTCAACGCTAAATGGTTTGGTAATTTTGTATGTTATGTGATTGCTAAAGATGAAGTTTCAAAAAAGAGGAAATCAGAGGGATAAAGAATAGTTACTGGGCCAAGAATTGTCTTGGTATATTGTTATGATATCCTCACTTTAATTGGGTTTAAGTGTTTTGCAAGTGTGCAACCTCTACCCAGAATTAAAAGAAAAACAAATGTTTTCAGGTAGTTCAATAAATAAGAAAAACTGAAGCTACCTTTTATATGTGCATAGTAAAAAAACTTCCCAAAAATCTTTGATTTAAAAAAAAAAAAAAGCTGACAAAAATGTCCCTTTGTCTTCAAGTCTTAATCTTCAAAGGGTGATGACTAGACTTGCAGTTTCTTAGGAGCCCCTGGGAAAAGGTTGGCGCTATTAAGTCCATAAGTGGGTGGAGTTTACAAACATATTTCACTGTGGAAACCACCTAAATTAGTGAGCTACATGGATTGATTTTGCCAAAAGGACTGAAACAAACAAATGACAACTTTACAACTGAAAAAAGGAAAGTGTTGACAGCAAAGAAAGAAAGACAAAATTGCATTAGGATGCACATTGCACATAGTTCATACAAAGGAAAGTATGATTTTATCTATCTGCCCTCCTCAGAGGGATAGAGAGTATATATAATGAGTAGCTGAAGACTGATGATTTAATTTATTTTTCTCCTCATTTTACCTGAGAGGCAAATGGGCTAATAAAAGCTGGTACAAGCCAGAACATTTTCAGCTACACTGCTCTGCTCAAACTAGCATGTTTCATAACCTTGAAGTACTAGGGCAATTATTCTAGGCCTGATGAAAATAAATTAGGATAGCAAAAGGATTCCAAGACTGGTTTTTAAGCTATAAAGGCTTCCAAACTGTACTATGTGTTGTTCTCTCTAGTGACTGTTGACATAGAGCTGGGAATAAAGTGAGGATAAAAATACCAGGTATGAGGACCTTACTCACAGACGGCTGCCCTAGAAAGGGTTTGTTGGAAAGACTGCCATCAACACAAACAACAGTGATTATGGCAGCTATCTGTTGAGCTTTTACTGAGTGCCCAGCAAGTGCTAAGAGTATTGACTCATCTGATCCTTAAAACAACCTGTGGCGCTAGCCGGTTTGGCTCAGTGAATAGAGCGTCAGCATGTGAACTGAAAGGTCCCAGGTTCGATTCTGGTCAGGAGCACATGCCCGGGTTGTGGGCTCGATCCCCAGTGGGGGACTTGCAGGAGGCAGCCGATCCATGATTCTCTCTCATCATGGATGTTTCTATCTCTCTCTCCCTCTTCCTTCTTCTCTGAAATCAATAAAAATATATTAGAAAAACAAACACAAATGTATTATAAAACAAACAAACAAACAAAAAAACACACCTGTGAAGAACCCATCTTACAAATAAAACAATGGAACAAGAACAGGTCACACAACTGTGTTCGGCAGTTAGACAGACATGAGCAGGGCAAGGATGATGGGCCAGGTACAGAAAGCCCTGGGTGTCTAACAAAGGACAATTGTAGCGTGGGATCTCATCCCCAGGATGATTTTTCTTCCCCTGGCATATCGCTGATCACATGGTTTGGACCCCCTGACCTTTACTCCCAAGAGATAACATCTAGGTCTCAGTTGTATTTCAGCTCCAGGCTCAGATAAGCAACAAAACCAGCTACAGCTGATCTCAGGACCAGCTGCACTGAATAATGACCCCCTGCCCTGGTGTCCACCAATCAATCAGTGGAGACTTAGACCCTGGAAGGACACACCTGGAAAACTGCTGAATATTCTACTGAGGTCGTCCCCTAAAATCTCTACCCTTAAAACCCTTGGGACTGAGGACCCAGCATGGTCCCTTCTCCCTCCCCCACAACACCCCCAGGCATGTTACTATTACCTTCCTCACTCCCAAGTTCCAAGGGCCCCTCCTTTGCCTCTATAACTTGATTCATCAGCACACTTCTACAAATTACTTCTACTTCTGCAATTTTACAAGTAAATGTTCTCTTATAGTTTGCATCTTGGCTCTGAATTCTTTTTCAGCCCAAACTCAAGTACTAAGGTTGCTGAACCCAGGTCCTGTCTGACCCAACCAGTCTAACAACTGGTGCTGTTCCCGCTGCCCTACAATACAACTAAGAAGTTTCTCTGTTGTGCCCTGGCAGTCTGGTTCCAGAGCCCATGCCCTTAAAGCATGGTGACATATTGAAATTTTGTAAAATAATACACATTCTTAAAAAATCCATATTTAAATATCAGCATCCTGGATATGACAACAACCAAATGTGTGGAGAAATTCCAGAAAACAAAATGTCTAATAGATTCCTGATGCCACCCATGCATATATGGACCCAACTCATCGTATTTACTGCTTTGAAGACAGAGGCAAAATGCCCATTGCCTTTTGGGCTCTTTGGCTGCTGAACTATGGAGTACACTTCATGAGGAATCACACCATGTACTATGTAACTGGAGGTAGGGAACAGAGAGTACGGTGAGCAGCCTCTGCTGGAAAAGCAGGAAGGTGGTACAGGCAAATGGCTTTGCCCAGCCGTGACTGGGACAGGCACTCCTGTCACGACAAAAGCCTCTTCCTCTAATGGCACAATAGTCAGCCACGCGTGGCTGATGCAGGAATTCTTTTCTGGGCATAATACTGGGAGAAACAAGTGCCTAAGAGTTTTGCACTTAAGGATGTTTTCTGGGTGGCTTCCAAGTTTCTGTGGTAACCCTTTGCAAACAGAAGCCCTTACATGTTTAAGGGATTTTTAACCATGCATATTTCTATGCTTTCATCAAGAAAAAATTCTGTCAGCCCAGGAAAACTTCAATACATGTATAAAGCTGCAAGTTCACACCCTGTTATTTTGTAATATGTAATATAGAATCTAATCAGACCACAGTTTAAACATCTATATGTACTTGGCATGAACTCTTTAACCTCTTGAATACCTGTTTAGATGTACAATTAATACCATTATTTGAAAACCTGATTGAGAACTACTGGTTGGCAGTTTCATTATGTCTCTAAGCCACCCTGAAAATGATGGTCTCTCTTTCTAGCCCCCTTTACTAAGCACCTGGGATGAAATGTTCTCTGTGTTATCTAATTTTGAGACTATGGGAGATTATTGGCATAATAAAAAACATTAATATTATTTTAAGCTTTGGAAGAGAAGTAGAATCTCCTATTGCTTAACACCAACTGAGGGTGCCCAATCAAACAAAACTGTAGTTGAGTTTGATCAAGGTTTAGTGAAAACAAACAAGGGTGAATAGAAGTAGCTAACAGAAACTTTGTAAGGGTTTTTGGGAGAACCAAGATGGCGACATAGGTTAACGCCAGAGTTTGCTGCTTTGAACACCTACTTCAAAAGTGAAACTAAAAGACGGAAGGGACATCACCCAGAACCACAGGAACGCTGGCTGAGTG